AAGTTCCAAATAGAGTAGTCCTAGAATGAGCTAGAATTTTTAGCATGGATACATTACTGAAACAGCGATGTCTACATTGGCTTGGGCATATCATGAGAATGGCTGACTATCGAATTCCCAAAGATCTCCTGTATGAAGAATTAATGCAGGGAAAGCGCCCCAGAGGGACAGCTGCGATACAAGGATATCTGCAAGCAGGATCTGAAGGCCTTAACATACAGGAAACTTTGACCTCTGAGCATTCAGCCTGGAGGCAGGCGGTGTATCACGGCCTCTCCCATTTTGAAGAGACCCTTGTCCAGCAGGCCAAGGCAAAGAGGCAGCCCCCAAACCAGCCAAATCAGGGAGCTGGACAGGGGACAGATTGGATTTGTCTTCAGTGTGGAAGGGAATGTCACTCTTGAATTGGCCTTCACAGCCACACTAGACACTGTTGCAAGACCTCTATTCAGAGCACATTACCATAGTCTTTCGAGACTGAAGGATGCCTAAATAAGCGACATTACAGACCGTGGCAAGATCTCTCACTGTTCTGTGACCCACAGACAACTCTGGGGGAAAGTCTCCAAAAGTTTCACCCTCCCCTAGTCTACACTGATTGCTAGTGGCTATCTCGGTTTCTCCCAGCAATCTTTCAGAGCCCTACCTGGAAAGGCTGAAGAATGACTCTTTGGCCCTTTGCACGTCAGCCTGGGACTCTCTCTGTGAGGCTTTTTGGTCCCTTTCACCTCCTTCTTTAAATGGTGAAAAGCTCCTCATACACAGTCCCATTTGAAATGCATGCTTCTGGTTGTGTCCTGATAGCAGTTAGATTGTAGCTGCCTCTGAAGTAAAGTTTTCAGCTGCTTTGACATACAGTGCATCGCAGCAATGCAAGCACAAGGGTAATTGCAAGGTTTTCAAATCTGCACGACTGATCAAAGTGCAAATTTATGGTAGCTTAGAAAAGTTAGCCGAGTTAGTCTATTTCTACATGTACAACAAAAATAAAAACAACCGATTTATGACTCCCTAAACACTAACAATTTTATTTGAGTCTGAGTTTTTATGGATTAAAAACTGTAAGACACAAAATGACTGTAAGACACAAAAATTCACATGGGGAAATCCTGTAGTCAGTTGCAATTCAGTAGGCCCACTGAATAAAGTGAACTTGGTGAGTGAACTCCTCTGTAAATTCCACTGATTCAGTGGGCCTACTTAAGTTGCAGGTACTCCAGGCAACAGGATTTTAGACACTGAAATAAGCTATGGTATTATACTTCCTCCTTTTTTAACGTAGGTTTTTTTTCTTGTGCATGTCTTTAACTATGGCAGCTGAGCATTATGGGTTTTGTTATTTAATCTACAGTTCACAGCTCCTGGTTTGCAAATACAGAGAGCTGAAAGTAACCCTTCAAAACAGTGGGCTATTTTGGCAGTGACTCAAACACTGCTCTCTTGCATTCTCTTTTTCCTTTTTAAAATTAGACATAACCAGTTTTAACCATGACTGTGTAAAAGAGAAGTGGCATGGTAGCCTCCCTTTTTGTGTGACATAATTTGAAAGGCGGTGAATCATTTGGAGTTGAGTCTAAGATGCCAGAGGTTGAGAGTTCGATTCCCCACTGTGCCTCCTTGACAGGGTCTGGGCTGGATAATGCATAGGATCCCTTCCAGCTCTGCTGTTCCAAGATTATTCATAATCATCATCATTAGCCTTCTGCAGATGGGTTTCATTCATAGTTGCCATTACCTCCCTCTATCGCTGATCATCACATTGAGCATGGTCCTGTGACCAATGTGTGTAGCACTTGAGGGGGAAACGGAGGTGCTCTGAGGAAGAGGAAACACAGGAGAGAAAACCGGTTGCACCAGGATACGTGTTGTCTCTTTAATCTTGACACAGTGCCTTATTTGATACAAGGAGAAATCATCATCATAATGTTTGCAATTCTTTTTTCTCCTCAGGAGAGAAAACCGGTTGCACCAGGATACTTATTGCCTCTTTAATCTTGACACAGTGCTTTATTTGACGCAAGGAGAAATCATCATAATGTTTGCAATCCTTTTTTCTCCGTTGCTTGAGCCCATGCCCAGGGCTCAACCAAAGGACAATGCCCTAGACAAAGCATGAGTTTTCGAAGGGTAGAATGAGGGAGAAAAAATGCCGTAGGAGAACTGGAAACAAGAGACCTGCTTCATTTTGGCTGCAATTCTGAAAAAGAATGAACAATATCTGAAGTTCCGTTTTGCTCTTGTAAATCTTATTGTGTGGGTCAAAGGCATTTCTATACAGCACAACCATGCACAGTTGCTCTGGAGGGTACACTGGTCCACTAATGTTGGAGATGGGGCAGGAATCTAGAGGTCCCGGGATCAATTTTGAATCCCCAAGACATGTTGATGAATGTCTATGAGGAAGAAAAGGGGAATTTCATCTCCCCCTATTTGCATAGCTAGGCTCATGCTCTCATGCCCTCTGCTATGGCTGCGAATTGTGCTAATGTACCATAGTGAAGGTTCTGCATACACATGTGCGTGCATGAGCACACACATATACACATGCCAGAAACATTCTTGTTGATGATAAACACGCCAGGCATATGGGATTAGGACTCCTGCTCCAGAGTCCGAGGGGGATTTCTTAAAACTTTGGAATTCTTACCTATTACATTCTTGGAATGATGTGCAAAAAAGGAGTGGAACGTAAGTAAGCACTAACAGAAGGACACAAGATTATTTCTGATTCAATTACAGTGGGATTTTGCTCATTGTAAATCTTTTTTCTCCATGATACTTAATCATCTTTTCACATCATGATGAATAAATCTGTTTGCCAGTGTTGTACATTGTTGTTCTGTTGGTGTTATTACATTAGAAAGAATATAATTGTGAGGTCCACCTGGAATGTTGAAAAAGCGCCACCTGTGTATTGCCCAGTGTAAAAGACATTCATTCATAGAAAGTGCGCCATGTATAAATAATTGGTTATTTTCCTTTTGGCCTCTGTAAAATCTGTTTTTTCTCTTTATTTTGCAGACCTGTTGAGGGAAAGAGAGAGAAAAACAATGGCTAGGCCTTGAAATTCTCCAAGGAATAAGAGATGAGGGTAGATGACCCTTAGGTGCTATATGTTGGAAATCTTGAGTAGCTTATCAAACAAGACTGGTCTTTCTGTCATTAGGACAGGAGCCCACAGAATAACCAACAAGATAAGGCACTCCTGGATTAGAGTGAATTAAAATGTTATTTTATTTATATCACCTTCCTTTCAATGGCAGGACTCAAGGCTTCTCACAATTAGGTAAACAAAATGAATTTTCTCATATTACGAATAGATGATTTAGACATTATAGAATGTGGAGTTCTTCATGCTTTCTGAAAATGAACCTCTCAAAAATAAGTCCCTATCTCCCTCCAAAATGGGGTTGTCCGGGCCATTTGAGCCATCTGTGTATATTACAGCTGAGCAAGTTGAATGTCCTGACACCAAAAGTTGTGGTTTGCTGCCTCCTTGGCTTCAGAATTCTACCTCTTCCTTCTTTAGTGCCTCTTTTTCATCCTCCACACCTTAGCTTGCATAGTGGGAGGCCAAATCCTGTTCTCCATTATGCTGAATCAAGACCATTAGTTACAGTAGACTTGCAGAACATCCTCTGATGCCTCCCTTGGGCTTGGAACTCATCCCGATCAATTTTTAAAAGCATGACGTGCATTAAGTTTATTTTTGAGATGGTGCTTGTATTACTCTGGCTTTGATGTGAAACAGAACTACAAAAAGATGTCTTTCAATTAAAATACTGTTTCCCTGCAGTGTTTTGCCTTGTGGTTTTCTTGAGTGTATTTACTCAGTGGAATGAAGGTGTGTGTGTGCTATGAACTGATCTCATTTTGTTTCAATAAAATCAAACAGTGTTGCTACTAGTGAGTCATCCCAGCAGACCCGACCACTTAATTTTGAGAGTTTGTCCTGTTTTCCCAGTCTACAGGGAAAACCTATAAGCTATGTCCTCCAAAGTACTTCAAGCTGCAAAACAGAGGATTGTTTCCTATGGTCACTGCAGAGAGTAGAGTCCATGAACAGAAAAAACCCTAAGTGAAATACAGTGGTGCCCCACTTGACGATTACCTTGTTGTATGACGAAATTGCTTGATGACGTTGTTTTTGCGATCGCTATTGCGATCGCAAAACTATGATTCTATGGGTTATTTTCGTTTGACGACGATCGGTTCCCTGCTTCGGGAACCAGTTTTTCGCATTACAACAATCAAAAACAGCTGATCCTTGGGTTTACAAAATGGCTGCCCACTGTGCAAAATGGCTCCCCACTATTTTCAGAACTGATTGCTCGCTATACAGATATCGGAAAATGGCCACCCTATGGAGGATCTTCACAAAACGAGCAGGTATTTCCCCCATTGGAATGCATTGAACCGATTTTCAATGCATTTCAATGGGATTTTTTATTTCGCTTGATGACTATTTCGCTCTACCGCGATTTTGCTGGAACGGATTATCGTCATCAAGTGGGGCACCACTGTAATCTCTCTTTTTTCTGATGCTGGGTCCATGTTTTCTGTTTCTGTAGGATGCTGTTGAACTGAGAATACAGGAATTAATTGCGACTGAGTCCTATGGAGGGAAGAAAAAAAGAATTACACCTTTTAGTGGAAAATGAGCAAAATCTGCTCTGTGTATTCTGCAAGCTGCTAGTCTTTTTGTGTGACATTTCTGGCTTATGCCCCAGAATGAGAACAATACTACCTGTTGCTCATCCTGAGATTGCTTCAGAGTGCAGGGTGCCCTCTCCTTGACAAGAGCTTCTCGATTCATTTAAATGAAGGAATTCAGTTTTTCTGCACATAAAGCTCTTGGACCCCTCCTTTGTAATGAATGGACTTCTGGAACTCCATCTGAATCTCTGACTGCCTGGAGAGAAATAGACCTGGCTTCCTTTACGAGCTACTCTGCAGCTCCTTCCCAAAAGGTTTTGCATATACATGTGCTTAGCTCACGCTTAGAGTGGCACACTGACATTTTCCAGAGAGCAAAGTTAGTGAGTACACACAGCTCTGAGTAATGAGCTTTGCCAATTTATTGAGGTACTTGGTAGGCAGTCGCTAAGTGCACCGCCAGAAAAGCTGTCAGCTCCTTCTTGCCCAGGGGAAAGTATTAGATTCCTGTCCTTAGACTGTGTGTAGTCATTGTCTAATAATATGAGACCATTTCCCCACCATTATCACCTCCCCCCAGCAAATAAGGCTGTAGCTGCTGCCTGATTGGTATATCATCTCACTTTCCCTGGGCATTGATTTTTTTCTCTTGCTCTCCTTTTATTTGCTTCATAAAAACAGGACAAGGAGCTACTGCAGGCTACCGAAGAGCTTTTTGGGTGCCTTTATTTTTAGCATGAGCCAACCTTTGTCTTATTTCAGATGAGGGAAGTTGGATTGTAAAACCTTTTGTAAATGTGTATGGTGATATTTGCTCCGGTAAGTTAACAGTGCTTCCCCAGCCCCTATTAACTGTCCGTTGTCTTGTCAGAAGGAACGTATTTTAAAAGCCTAATCCACCTTTGTTACATATCTATGTGTGTGTGGAGGGGTAATAACTGCATCTTGCATATAATTTTCTCTGTGTGTGATTTTTCAGTGCTTGTAAGAATATCTGCTACTTTGCTGCCTTTGTGTGTAGAGAGAGAACTGTTGGAGTGAACTTATCTGTAGTTCTGGAAACTGCAGCAATGTTATGTGCATCAGTAGAAATAATACAGATTTGGATTTTAATGTATAGTTGGCTCTTTGATCTGTGAAGACCAATTGTTTTCAGAATGTATTATTTTTTCATGCATGATCTTTAAAATAGAAATAATGACCTAATGCAGTCAGCTGTAAAAAGACTAAAATAAAGAGCTGTATAGAGTTATTGTGTACCTTGGTAGTTTAGACAGTGTAGTTTTTGTTTTTTGTTTTTTTTGCTGCTGTTGAATAGTACTTAATAAAACAAAATAGTTTTAAGAAGTGTGTCTTTTGTTGAGGTGTAGGTAACAATATTTATGAAAATACTCTCACTCTTTCCAGGCTTCTTCCTGTAAAGCAGAGATTCTCCTCCAAATAAATTGTTATTGTTTGTAGGGCTTGTCGAATTGAAGTCTTTTTTTTTCTTTTCTTTTATTACCAAAATAAAATCTATGGAAAATGGCACATGAGATATGTACAATTTATTTTGAAACTTCTTAATTACATTGTGTACTGTTCTGGCACAGTGCAGTAACTCTGTAGCTAAGTAAATGAAGATTTTGGACACAGTGAAGTTACACTGTAGAATTTCTAATACTGTAATAATGAAAAAATAAGAAAAACATGAGTTTTTTAAAAAAAAACTCTTTAAAAATTGCAGTTAGCAATCCCTGGTGCAAAGTCTTCAAAAAGTATAGAGAAAGTTCATTAATTGTGCTAATGATGTGGACTGTGCTTGTGGTCATTCATTGCTCACTTATTATCTATCTGTGCTTGTGGTCATTCATTGCTCACTTATTATCTACCACACTGAAGAATGCCATGTTTTCTGTGGGAATTTGATTCCAGTTAACTAGAAAATCAGTAGGATAGAGCTGTGCTTTTCAGTGGAAATTCAAAATACTGCATTGCATGCTCTGGGTTGCACTTTCAGAATGGGCAATAAAAATTATGGCTGTCCAACTTTCAAAAAAAGCACACACTTGTTTTCTCTTCCACTTTAAAAGAAATAAGTATAAGTATTTTAATAAGATATCCTTTTTGAGCAGCATGTGCTGTTCTAAAGATGTTTGATAGTAAACCATAAGAAGAAAGGCACTTTGAGTGCTTAATAATAAATACTATTGAGAATGTTTGTTGTCATTTAAAAGATCCTGAAACTGTTTACTATGGTTGATGTTTTTGCACACATGTTTGGATCATAAAATTGTAATTTTGAATTTAAACAAATTACTATTCTTAAAGCATTATAGTTATGTGTCTAGTTGTTTATAACATTGATATTTCAGTAGCCAGGATCCAAAATACACTTTTGTGGATCTGATTCCAACTAAATCCTAGATTTCTTAAATTCTTAAAATTTTCGTGCTGGCAGCTAGCTGTATGTTACTTCCCAGTCACCACAACAACCCCCCCACACACACATACATACACATCCTTGATTTTAAATTTTCACACAATGTTTAAATTTATCACACTTTTGGATTCGGAGTATGAACATATAGCTGTAACAACATTCCCTGTGAAAGAGGCCACCTGTCCAAAGCTCAGCAATACTTGTATGAGTTGGTCTAAAAAGCACTTTTATCACTGGGTTATTTGTACAGATGTGTGCATTTGGGGTTGGTGTTTCATGTGCTTCTTGAAATCCCATATTGTTAAAATGCAAATACATGGAGAGGCATTGCACTAAAATAAATAAATTTAAGTGGAACACTAAATGGTCCAGCAGCACCCAATGCATGCTCCATTTCGTGCAAAAGCATATTGGGCATGAACCTTGAGAGGCACAGAGCTGAGTGTGGAAATCAGAAGGAAACATTGTATTAGGTGCAGAATAGTAAGGGGAGCATGTCTGGCATACTGATTGGAGAGTTTTGGTAGACCTGACATTACCTGTACGCTGGAATCAAGCAGGAGGAATGGGCATGGCTATAAAACAGGCTAAGCAAAGCTGTTACACAAAGGGGGGAATGGACTCCAGTGGGATAATTTATTATTTTTAAAGAAGAAAAAGCTATTTCAGAAGTATACTATGGGTTTTTCTGCTATTATTTTAGTGCATCTATGTTTGGAAGGAAATGGTAGCAAGTTTTGTTTTTTTCTACTGTCCAAAAGAAAACTAGAGGCAAGGGATTGTTCTTTATGCCCTGTGCTAGGCTCGGTTCCTTATAAAAACAAGAAACCAGATCTGAGCTATCCAATGAGAAGGATAAGCTAGCAAATGAATCCCATTGTTACAGGGCTAAGAATTCATTGGGATGGAGTTGTGCTGCTTGTTAATATCATGCACAGTGACTTCGGTTTTAGTAAGGAATTTAGCCAGTGGCTACTACAGCCATGTGAATCAAGCCTTCTGGATGCAACCATAGAGGTCAACCCACTGATTATGGAGAGTCACTCTCTGTAGAGGAGGAACCATGTACAACTTTTTGAGTCCATTGAAGGAAAGGTGACATTTAAATAAACAAAGGCTTCATCAGTACTGCAGCTTTTGTGAAGTCTCTGAATTATCCATTGTAACTAGCGAAGAATATTGTTGTAGTAGCATTGGAAACAAGGGGCGCTGATGATAATGGTGGTGACAATTCATAGAACCACTTGCCTTTCTCTCACACACACACATACACATAAACTAGGAGGACATTGGCTTTAGTTTCCCTGAAGTACGTCAGAAGGGCAGAATCTGGTGGGTTCCAGCAGGAGTGAAATTGGTGGGAAAAGTTTTCTGTTTACTGTTGTAACTGGAACGGGTAGATAGTAGAGCTGAACTTCCCCAGGCTTGGGTCTTAATGCAGAATGAAGGCACTACAGGTGCAGGGGAAGTGTCACAGCAATCTTTATTAATATTGTTGTCAAGTCACATTGCTTTACCATTGAGAAGTCCATCTCTTTCAACTCAACAGCATGTGCGTGGGTGACTGCCAAGTATTCCCTGGCATGCACTCTGTCACTGACATGTACATGAGCAATGGTGTTCTCAGCTGAGCTCTGCAGTTGATCTTTAGCAGAAGCCAAAAGAAATATATTTTGGGGGTACAGTTCCCAAGATTCCCAGCTACAAGGGTCATTGACTATACTTGTTGAGGGATTGTGGAAGTTGAAGTTCAAAGATAGCTTTTCCATGTCCTGGTTCTAGAGTAGATACAAGTGTTATACTGTTCTGGTATTCAAACTGAGTGGTGTTGATTTTCACTCAGATGTTCTAGTTTGAATTCCCGCCTTCCCCCTCCTCCACATTCTGGCTTCTTCTTGATAATTTTTTGCAAATGGGCCTTTTAAACTTTTGGTTTTCACCCTATCATGTGGCAGTGAATTTCACACATTAACATACATTACCCTGCCTTATGTAATGCACTTTCTTTTCCTTTTTGGAACAACTTCAGTCTTAGTGATAAAAGCTTTGCATTCCTACCAGTGGTTTTGTTAAAGAACATGATTCCCAATGGCAACTTGTGTTTTTCCTTATGTATAAACATGACTTGAAAGAAGGTTGATCGTTTCATCAGCTGTTAACAGATGGCCATCAGCAGCTCATTAGCCCGGGTGATTTAGCCAGAAGGGTCAGGAGATTAGGGCGAAAGCATTTCCTAATTAAAAAGTGGTGTCAGTTTACATCACTGAAGATAGATGGGAAGAATATTTGGTTGCATCATAGGAAGAGGATATAAGAAAGGTTGAATGGAACTGTCTCTGATAGTACGGTGTTCACCTATGTTGTATCATCCTAATGTGTAGTGCTAAAAGATAGCAGATTTTTTTTCATCTTTCAACATTGTAAGAAAAAAATATTTTAACTGTTTTCTTGCCTTTACACTTTAAGATCTCCGGGTCCTAAAATGGGTCAGGTAAAGCATGCTTTCATTGCACTTCATTGCATTGCATCTGAGGACAAGGTATTGATAGATATAATCCAAAGAATTCTTCCAGTAATTCTGATTTATATGCATCCTGGGAACTGACTGAGGACTCAGGCCTAGAGCAGTGTAGGAAAAATTATATATTGCTAAGGAAGATGGTGACCCATATCATTCACACTTTACTGTGTGATCTGCTATACAGTTCTTAAACTTCCTTCTAATAGCCTTTTCCAATAAAATGTATAGTTGTATTGCAATCACTCGAAGTAGTAGAAAGATAGTTACTAGATGCCCAATGAACGTCAAGCCTATGTTGACTATAAACAGAATTTAACACATGCAAATTTAATGCGGTTTGGTTAGTTCTTTACATCATTTAATTCCCTAATCAAGATACTAAAAGAGTTAGGGAGAATTTTTATTCCCTCTTCATGATTTTAATACAGGGGTGGAGATCCTGTTTTAATCCCAATAATACTGGGCACAATGTGTAGTGGAAACAGGTAGGTCCAGTTCTTCAGTGAACCTGACCCAGATTTTAGTCCAGTCTTTAAAGAGATTCTCTAAGGTAGGTAGTTGATTCCTTAGCAAGGTAGTTCATAGGGCATTGGCCGATCAGCTACAGGCTCTCCTGGATGAAACCAATGCCCTAGATCCATTCCAGTCGGGATTCAGGCCGCGCCATGGCATGGAAACAGCATTGGTCGCCCTGTTTGATGACCTGCTGAAGGAGGCCGACGGGGCAAAATGTCTCTGCTGGTCCTTTTCAATATCTCAGCCACCTTTGATACCGTCAACCACAGTATTATCCTGGGGAGGCTCTCCGAGGTAGGAGTTGGTGGCCTGGCTCTTGCCTGGCTCCATTCCTTCTTGGAGGACTGTTGCCAGAGAGTG